CTAAACCTAGTTATACAGTATCAATTGAAATTACTTACTAGAAGAAAATGTATCGTAAAAATTAATCAATTTTTTGGATACAATAAAATACTTCTTAAATAATAATTATTTAAAAGATATATATTTTAATTTAAAATTCATAAAAAACTAATTTAATATTAAATATAAAATTTTAATATTTAAATTAAAAATTTAAAATTAATATTAATAAAAGTTCTAAAAATACAAATCTTTAAAAAAGTTAAGAAGTATTATAATGGAATAAAAATAAATAATTGAATTAATAATTATTGACAACAAATTTAAAATAAATAATAATAAAATGATTATTAGAAATTTTATATAAATCTTAATTAAAGGGGACAAAAAATTTTAGTCAAGAATTGTTTTAATGGAATAAAAATAAATAATTGAATTAATTTGTTAATATTAAACGTTATTATTTAATTTCAAAAAACAATAAAATAATTGTAAATTTTACATAAGTTTTTATAAAAATTTATTTCAGTTTATTTTTAAATAGGTTAAATTTAGTTTTACTTGTACATTTTTGTCTGATTATCTTATAATTAAAAAAATTATTTTACTTAAATTAATCGCAGTAATTGATATTAATGATTAAAAAAATTTGGAATAAGTTGAAATTATAATATTAACAAAATTTGTGCCAACAGTTTAATTTAATTTTAAGTAAAGTTTACCAAAAAAATATGATGTATAATGTGTATGATTATTGTGAAATAATATTAAAATATATAGAAAATTTTGTTAAAAAAGAAACTTTTAAAGTTAATGTGAATTTTATTTTGTATAAATTTTTAGACGTAAAGTATTTTTCATTTATAATGGTACATAGTTTTTTAAGAAATAAATTAATTTAGAACTAATTATTATTTAATTAATTTTTATTTAAATTTATTTTTTTTTAAATTTAAATTATATATTTAATTTAACGTTTAATGAAATAAGATGTAAAACAAAATTATTATAAATTTTATATATTTAAATTAAATAAATCTTTAGAATTAAAAAATTTATTATAAATTATTTTTTTATATTAAATATTTATTATATATTAATAATTTAATAAAAATTTTGTATAAATTTAATAAATTAAGTAATAATGATGAAATAAGAACATTAAATAAAAAAGTTTAAATCAGGAACTCTGCAATTTTTATTTTCGCCTATTTAACAAAAATAACTCTGCCCATTGTATTATAAATTATTTAAAAGGCCGCAATATATCAACTGTGCGTGCAAAGGTATAAGAATCGTTAGTCTTTTATTTGAAGGCTGGAATGAATGGTTGGACGAAATAAAAGCTGCTTCATTTGAAATTTATATAGAATTGTATTTTTTTATTTAAAAAGCTAAAATATTTTTAAAAGACGAAAAGACTCTAAACTCTTTATTTTCAAATTTTTAATTTATTTTGGTTATTGTTTATTAAATAATTTTATTGGATTGATATTAAAATAAAAAGTTTTAAATAATTTTTATCATTTATATATGATTAGTGAAATTACTTTAGTTAGCGATAACAGAATAATTTTTTTTGACTGTTTCTTATTTATAAAAAAGATTTAGACCTGACAATGTTGAATTAAGATTTATATTTAAATGCAGAACTTTAAATATATAGGCTGTTCGACTTTTTATTCTTACATGATCTAGTAAGTACAAAACGGTGTAAGACGGGTAAGTTTCTATATTTGAATTAAAAAATATTTTACTATAAACGGACTTAATTTATTTTTTTTTTAAACTTATATAATCAATAAATTTAATTACTATTTTGGCAGATTAGTTCAAAAAATAATTATTTATATAATTTTAAATATTATATATAAAACTTGTTTATTTTTTAGAATTGGATTTTCACTAGCTTAACAGTCGGCCGTGTTTGGCGGGTGCACCCATTAAAGTGCAAAAGTATCAAACGATGTAAGTCTAAAATTAATAGATAAAAACGAATAAATTTTTGGGAGAAAGGTTGGAACAATAAAGTACGGTACGACATCATATAAATAAACAAAGTGGTTAAATCAAAAAAGTTGTACGCCTTAAATTTTCCCGCATTTTTCTTTTTTTTCTTTTTTCCTTTTTTTTTTCTCTTTTTTTTTGTTTTCTTCTTTTTTCTGTCTTTCCTTTTTCCCCCCTTTTGTTTTTTTTTTTCTTTTTCCTTTTTCCTTTTTTTCCTTTTTCATTTTTTCCTTCTTTTCCCTTTTTCTTCTCTTTCTTTTCCCTTTTTTTTTAACAGAACAAAAAAGGGACTTTTTTGTGGATCATATATTGATAGCCAAACTAAGGAAAACTATATAGGACGTGTGCGAGTTAGGCTAAGTTGATGCTAAACCAAATGGGACTTTTCTTGGGATTTTTTGCACTGCACACATTTAGCCATTTATCAACACGTATCGACACATCACGACATTATCGGCACAACTTAGAATTTCCCTCATTTAGAACGCAACTTAGCCTAACTCGCACACGACCTTAATAACTTAATTGAAACTGATAGAGAGACAGTCACATAATTCATTACAATAAAGAAGATAAAAATAGCCAACCAAAGTGTGGACATAGACAACTAAATAAATATTTAATTATAAAAAGTGATAGAGATTTAGTATATGTAATCCGTGTATAATAACATAGAATGCCAGAAATAAATTTTAGATAGTTGGTACACAAACTATATACCCAAACTAAGTAAAAAATATCAACCTTTCGGTGCAACAAAAAAAATATAGCATAGTTTTCAGATAATCTGTAAATTACCTAATTCAAAAATAAAAAAATCAAGAATTAATAAACGTGCATCGTACTCCATCAAAAAACCAGAAGACGACAGATAATACGTCGGCGAACGAAACTAGGAAAAGACGTACAAAAACTATGCATTGATGTTCTATAAATTTCATCGAAAAATTGAAAAATGTCGGAAACAGAAGGTAAAATGACCGTACTGGTAGAAAAAGAATGAGATCAAAATGTAGTTGAATTACTAAAAAGCACTGTTAAACTGACAGGATTTACAACAATATTTGTGGAACTAGACTTGACCTTCGGAAAGCAGCAGAATAAATGAATAATGCTTGGAAAAACAAATCCTACGCTGAGAGTCTGTAACATCGTGTTGCGGTTAGAAACAATAAATTATGAATAGGGCAAATGGCAATCATAAAAATTTAATGAACGATAATGAAAATGTGGGTGTAGCTTTACAATTACTATACGGTACTAAGGTAAGAAACATGTGTACCAGCTATATTTATCTGAAGAACAAAAATAAATTCAAAAAACTAGTAAATATTTCAAAAAGTCGAACAAACAAGACATCCAAATGATTTTTAAAAAAGCTCTTAGAAATAAACCTACAGTAAAAATCAACGCCGAGGCATTATTACTAGGCGGCAACTTCAACATATTATCATATAATATAGCCGGTTTAAAAAATAAAAGAGTCCATAGCAAATTTACGAATATATTTGTTTCTTCGATATTATATTTTTATTTGAAACACTTCTAGAAGAAAATTTGCAACAACAAGTAAGGAAGTTACATGGTTATAACATAGAATGGATCTCAGCTAAAAGAGCAAGTATTTAGGAAGAGCCAAGGAAGAGCGAACTATATGCAATAAATAAGCAAACAAATTCAGCAAATAAAGCGAGTTTTTTCTTAAGCGGTGGAAGAACGCTTGTCAAATGAACTACTGTTAATGGCAGAGCCTATATATTGTTCTCGTATATATAAACTGCAATAATTGGGAAAGCATTTTGAGAACTTTCGTGACTTCCTCCTTAAATCAATACACATTTGACAAGTAAAAACTTTTTAAACAAATTTGCGGGTGAAAAACATATGTGAATATGAAAATACCTGCAGATAATTTTATAAAACTTTTTTTTTTTTATATAAATATTTATAAAATGAATGACACAACAAAAAATGTTTTTGGTGAACATTTTATATTGTATTTAATTTTATATGAAAGTATGCATTTTTTTCGGCTTTATATATGATAATAGAGAAAAATAGTGAAATAAGGAGGATACAAGGAGTGCTCCATGCGTTCAGAAGGCAATTCGAGATAGTCAATAAATTCGTTTATATGACTTATAAGTTTTTGCTTTTATTATAATGATTATATTTTGTATTTATTAATTTATTTAATTTTTTAATAAACATAATACAGAAATTAAAAATTCCTTAATAAATAATAAACAAATGACTTCTTCACAATTACTACTAACTGACGTCTTCACTTTTTTTAAAGAAAATACTTTTTTAAAATATTTTTTTATTTTGTTTATATTTTGTTTTGTACGTACTTCTTTTTAGTTTTGGAAACTATGCGATTAGAGCTGCTTATTAGTTAAGCGGTTTCAAGAAAGTTAGACTATCCAAAAGATAGCCACCAGTGTTGTTATCTTATATGTTATTATTAAAGTAAACGATTGCTTTTTTGTGATATGCTTAAAAAAGAAAAGACCTGTTGTAATGCGAGTGGCTTATTTTTTAAACAGTTTCAGGAAAGTGGGATAATTTCTGCGAATTTTGTTTTTGCCATGCTAATTTTTAAGAGACATTTATATTGCATATAAATATAAAAAAGTATTTTTTTTAATGTAAAAGAATATGAATACGTTAGTGTATCTAGTACAAAAATACCAATTTACGAGAGTATATGGTTGTAAATTAATTGACTAACTTTATTAGAGAAGATGTGTGGAAATTAGTCAAATTTTATTATTTTTGTGAATTTAATAATAATTTATAAATAAATATACTTATTATGTACTTTATTTAATAGTCAACCGGTTTCCTGTAGCAAAAGCATACATTTTTATAACCTAAAGTTGATTAAATTAGATAAACTTTTGCCATAAATAGCGGGATCTGGCAACACCAGCTGACAAGTATTATGGTTGTGAGAGAAAATACAAAATGAAAGACGAGCAAAAATGCACAATAAATATGAGAGAAAATGTGTTTTGTATTTCAGTTTAAACGATCGTGGGAAGCGGTAAGCGTCTGTCTGTTTGAATTATTAATTAAACACGAGGGTTGCGGTTTTTACTTTTTCAATTAAAGAACAATGGATACAAGTTAGTTATTATTTTTAATAAATATTGTGTTTTGATTTTAATTTAATTAATTGGATATATTATAGCAACTGGAATTAAAGAAAAATTGGGAAAAATTTTAATTGAGGGTAAAACAAAACAAGTGTTCGATTTGCCGGAACACCCCGGACTTTGCTTGTTGCTCAGTAAAGATCGCATAACTGCAGGCGATGGCGTAAAAGCTCATGATTTGGAAGGCAAGGCAGAAATATCGAATGCCACAAACGGACAAGTATTCGAAATCTTAAATGAAGCTGGTAATGACTTCTATTAACTTTTTTATAATATGTATTAAATATGTGTATACTTGAATATCAGGTATTAAAACTGCTTATGTGAAACCATGTTCCCTGAAAGCCTTCATTGCGAAGAAATGTGAGATGATACCAATAGAATGGGTAACTAGACGTTTAGCCACTGGCTCTTTCTTGAAACGTAATACCGGCGTACCTGAAGGATATAGGTAAGTAAAGTTTTAACAAACTAATGTGTTTTTACTCATTTTTAAAATGTCCAACATCTTTAACAATAAGTTAAAAAACACATAACTTTTAATTGATCTGTAAACATGGAACTTAATTTGTAAAATCTCGTTATCACTTAAACTGTATCGCATTATAATATCAATGACCTTAACATACCCATTACTGTGTCTTGTAAACAAATTTACTTTAAAAACATCGAAGTCGTTAGGTCATAGAGATTAAATACTTTATGATATCAGTGCTGTGCCAATTCGTTTACATTATTAATAATGAAACTGCATCTTCATCTGCTTTTATTTCAGATTTTCACCACCAAAGCAAGAAACTTTTTTCAAGGATGATGCCAATCACGATCCTCAATGGTCGGATGAACAAATACTAGCGGCTAAATTTACTTTCAATGGCTTAGTTATCGGTAATTTTAAATTTTGGTTAAAGTACTAAACTTTTCAAAATTTGGGTACGGGAATTGATATATTCATAGCTTAGAAATATGGACAAAATGTAGTTTTTTTAGTTAGATCATGTTTCTTATATGACATTTTCAATACGATTAAAGTCGATTTACAATTTTTAATACACGGGTAATTTATGTTTATATGGATTTGTATAAAAATTTCTCTGGCAATTTGTTATAATGCAACTAAAATTAGATATTCTAAAATAAACAATTTTACATAGGTACTCTTCTTAACAACATACCAGTATTTTCTTACCAATATAGCAGTTTATTTGAAAGCATACATATGAAGTTCAAAATATATATACCTCAAAATAGAAAACTTATTAGTGTTTTTAATTTAGGTCAAGATGAAGTCGATATTATGAAGCGTACTACAGTGTTGGTATTTGAAATACTAGAAAAAGCTTGGGCTACTAAAAACTGTGCTTTAATAGATATGAAAGTAGAATATGGCGTTGATCCAGAAGGTAAGTAATTTACTAATATTCTTTTGCCTAAAAAATTGAAGTTAATTTTTCATTTAAGGAAATATTGTACTTGCTGACATAATTGACTCGGACTCATGGCGTCTTTGGCCATCGGGTGATAAACGTTTAATGGTTGATAAACAAGTTTATCGTAATTTGACATCAGTAACGTCTAGTGATTTGGATACTGTAAAACGCAATTTTATCTGGGTGAATGAGCAATTGAAAGATATTACACCTAAAAAAGATCATCTTGTTGTTATACTTATGGGCAGTGGTTCTGATTTACTGCATTGTCAAAAAATATCCGCAAACTGTAAAAGTTTGGGATTAAATACTGACTTACGTGTTACATCAGCCCATAAAGGACCTGAGGAAACATTACGTATTATGCGTGAATATGAAAGTGTTATAGGCAATCTGGTTTTTATTGCAGTAGCTGGTCGCTCAAATGGCTTAGGCCCAGTTCTATCAGGTAGCACAACGTACCCTGTTATAAATTGTCCACCCGTAAAGGCCGATAATATGCAAATTGATGTTTGGTCGAGCTTAAATGTGCCTTCGGGCTTGGGTTGTGCTACAGTTTTATACCCGGAGGCTGCAGCCTTACATGCCGCACAAATACTAGGAATTTCGAACTTTATGATATGGTCTAAACTACGCGTAAAACAATTAAATAATTTTGTTAATTTAAAAATCGCCGATAAAGAAATAAGAGGAGTTCACAATGCTTAAAAAGCCTAACAACTGTTATATATCATATTTCATTTTATATTTTATAATATCTTTTAAAACAAAACAGTGTTTTGTTATATTGTATACAGAAAACATTAAAAATTTTATTCCAACGTTATATTTTTATTTGATAAGTTTATTTTCAAAACCCATTCGTTAGATGAAATCACTTTACAAAAAGAGTATTTTCATAACCCTCATTAACTCTAACCGATTTTGCGAAACTAAATATAACTATTGAATTTTAATAATAATTTGTTACCGGGCTAATTGGTCAAATTTTAATATAAATAAAAAGACATTAATTTATTATTTATATTTAAAAATCGTTTATATTATATTTGAATTTTATATTTATTTTATCAATATAATCTTGCAGATATCGTCAATATGGACGAAATTGTTGTCCATTTATGTTATTCCTTGTATGATCACATACAATTGTCTTATTTTTTAAAATGTGAGCTTACTCTAATCCTGAGACATCCAAACGTTGTTCTGGTTGTTGTCACAATTTTAACTGAAACTTGTTCAAGAAATTTATTTCTATTAATTAGGGGAGTTTTGTAACCTAGAAATCTTTTGTGTCCTTTACTTAGATTCCGAGTAATATTATTCGAATTCCCTCGATAAATTGTAATATTAAGTCCACATACTAAGTATTATGTATTTATCCGATAAATTATGCCTACATAGGTATTTAATTGGATTACTCATCAGTACTGAGCAAGTTCCTTACACTTGTTTTACGTTCTTATTCTTTTCCTCACAAGTTTCTTTAGAGTAAACTCTCAGCTATGTCAGATGATAATTAAACCTTTTTGTCTTTTTAAGCAATTTTAATTGTGATAACCTTGGTCAATTGTATAGAATCTACCTCTTCCTAAGCCACATAATGTTTCCGTAGCTATAAGCAGCGACTTAGTTTCATTTCATTTCTTAAGATGACTGTTCTATAATTCCAACAGTATGGTTCCCTGCTTGAAAAATAGTTGTTTTTTTGGTCTATCGCTTTCGAGTGTTTCAGAAATTAAATAACAGCCAAATTTTTAGCAACTTCAGTAGTGCTCTGACGAATACTGAAAGACCTAATAATACATAGTCAGTTCAATACTTATGTCAAAGGAGTTTGGTTATACTAGAAAATATTTTTTGATAAAATATTGTCCTTCTTTAAATGTTTATTAATAATAGTAAGACGATTGTGTCTAAAAGAGAAGAGTGGATATACCTTCTGCTCAAAAAGTATCCAAATTTTGTTGTTTGTTAACTACTCCTTAAGTAATAGACCTTTTTGTTATGTTGGTACACCCTTTCTTGACATATGGTATAAATTTGAGCGCCATCTGTCAATTAGTTTGTTTACAGCAGCTGTTAATGTGAGACTACCTCAAGTGCATTTAGCGATTTGTATTATGGAAACAAACACGGCACCACTGTCATCGTTCAGACACTATATTCGTCAGATCTGGCACCGTGTGATTTTTTCCTGTTCCCGAAACTTAAATTGCCCCTTCGTGGTAAGCGTTTTGAATCAATTTTATCGGTAAAAGAGAATTCGCTGAAAGAACTAAAAGCCATACCTTCACGGGCCTATGAGATGTGTATGGAAGATTGGGTTAAGCGTTGGTATATGAAGAAGCATATTTTGAAGGAGATAAAAAAAATTTGGAATAAAATTTTAATTTATGTGTTTTATTTACAAAATCCGGGTACTTTTTGAGCTGGATGTAGTAGAAAATATGTTTTGCCGAAAGTTTTTCGCAGTTCACTAAATTGATTATAAGATATAGAAGTTGTTTCATTTATATACGTATATCTTTAAGGTAATATTCCTATTAATATTACTTTTAAGAGCTTCATTTAAATACATTCCTATCAAGAAAACTAAGATTATAACTCTTACATTAATTTTTTACCATAATTAAAAGCTGTAGTTTCCCTAATGTTTAATTATCAAAATTATTAGTTAATATTAGCAACAAAATATAAATAAAAAATATATGGGAATTGTTTTTAGTTTTTTATATATCGGAATAGTTTTTATTAGCTTTAGAGTACATATTATCAAGGCGAGATTTAATTCGTTCGATTAGGTTAAAGTGTACCAAGGCATACTTAACCAATAATAATGGCCAGTTGTAAACCACGAAAGTAGAGTTGGTAGCCTGAGTAATTGAGGAATATAAGGAGCTAGAAGATATGTGAAGTAACATTTTCTCTGAACTCAATACTTTTTTACGGTGACGCTGTCGGAGATCTTAAACATCATTTTAACCAGACACTATTAATATTTATAACTCGTACAAAAATATTTACACTGAGTTCTAATTTTTCTCAAATTGGTCCAGTTGTGTTGGCATGATTTTCTGTCGGTCGGTAAAAGCTTTAATGGATTTTCTTTGATAATAAATGAAGTAAAAATGCATTTTTTTTGTTTGATTAAAAGTTTTATTTTTTTGTTTATTAAATAATTTAATTTACCCCCAAAAATAATTGAATTATATGACTTAAAAAAAGCTGTTAAAAATTAGAGCTTAACAGAGAAAACAGCGTAATAATAATAATTAATTTACATTATAATTAACTTTTTCAATTTTAAAGTGCTCTTGATTTATATAATAACAAAAAATTTTGTTAAAGTAACACGACATTAATTATTGAAATATTTAAATTCAACTATCAGACAATAAAATACTATTGTGTTTGAACGTAAGTTAGAATGCAATATTGTTTAAATATAAAAACTTTAGTAAATTCTAAAAATTGTTAAATAATTGCCACAATTTTAATTCTTAATCGAGAAAACGTTAATTTAAAATTAAATAATGATCAATTTTTGTATGAATCACCTTGTTTTTTTCTTTAAATCCTTTCCTGGAACATTCATATATATTATTTATATATATTGTGTTCGCCGACTATTGGATAGAGATTTGATTACCTGCTTCATCATGTTGTGTTGAGTAGTTGTGAATACGAAATTAGAGAAGTCTTCAGCAAGTGGTAGATAATTGAAGTGTCTGCAATATGATCTTAATAAATTAATATGACAATACAACTTTCGTGCGATTGAACATTAATAAAATAAAAATGATATTTAAAAGCAATTTGCAAAAAAAAGACATTGTATATCAATGAATGGACCTATAATAAAAAAACGTTAATAAATATTTTCATGGTGAATAATGATAATTTTACATGAACTTGTGTATTAAAAGAGGAAGGATTTGGGGGTATTTGTTGATTATATTAAAATAAAGTTCCTTAAGTTGTTATTTCATGTGTTTCTTTGTTTCAAAAAACATGTTTTTAAAATATATATTAATCAATGACTATATTTCTTATAGTTTTCTTAAAGTAAACTTTCTTAAATTTAATTAAATATAATTGAACTAAACTAACTTTTAATTATTTATATTTAACCAGTTTTTATAAGTTTTGTTTTTTGATTTTATTCTAAAATTGGCATCAATAAAGTAACGACGAATATAGTTTCAACAACAGTCAACAATAAAATATACATTAGTGTATATACATACATTGCTATATGGCAACCATAAATACTGTAACCTTTATCAGTTTTTAGTTGGTACATCGAGAACCCGAGGACAAGAACTCAATATAGAAAACAACAGGAATTTTTTTTTTATGAAGAAAAAATAGTTTAACACATATATGATGTCCTGTGTAGTTTAATAATATTGATCGCCATCGTCAATATAAGTTTTGAAATTAAGCCTGGTATTAATGCGGAGTTGTTAAAATTAAGAGCATATCCAAAAAATAAAAAATTTGATTTGATTTTTTTTTGATAAATCCAAAGTATCACATTATTATTTATACTCAAGTGCGCTTTGATGCATGTGGCTGTCACTTCAACGTAGTTATATGTTTTTTATCTGGCTCATCGTCTATTGAAATACAAAGTTAACACTGTAGAAACTGAACGACATCGACCTTATATTCATACTATGCTTGTATCCAGTTATTCTTCTTTGTGATTTTTTCCTAGTCGTATAGCAACAAATATCTGATCGCATACGAAGTTGTTGTTATAGTCTGTGGAGTTTTAGGAGTAGAAACGATTATTTTTACAAGGCGAGTATCGGTTAGAATAAATGGGATGTGTGTGTGAAAGTAAAAGAAAGTAATAACAAGGACTATACCAAAAAATCACACACGTTGTACTCGTTTATTTGGTAAACTACTTTTGTTTCTTTTAAGTCTTCTTATCTTATATTCAAGTGAATCTTATTTTTCATGTTGAAATAATGTGTAGATTCTATTTTTGATAATATTTTCAATAATTATTATTATTATTATGTTGAGGCTATTTGAGTCATCGCACTTGAACACTCTCTACGCCTCTCTACGCCTTGACTGGATTTTTGTTTATCACTTCATCACACTAAGCAATAATTGAACTCAGATCTGCATACGTCCCCGAGGAGGCTGTAACGCGGTGTTGATAAGCCTGTCAAGGGCTCTATCCTTTATGTTGACATCAAAATGAATAAAATATCTGAAGAAATATCGTATATCGTGAAGGTTTATTACAATAAAAAGTGAAACTTAAATAAAAAGAAAACTTGTAGAGAAAATTGCGATTTAAGGGCAGGCTACAATTAGTTTCTTCCGAACTCAGGATAGTTATTCGATTTTATTTAATCATTAAAAAAGTCAATAATATTTATTTTATAATCTTGATTTGTTTTAAAATTATGAAAATAAAACTTTTTTAGTTGAGATATAATCAAATTTACATAAAGTTGATTAATTGGTTTATTTTAAGATGAATATATTATTTTATATATATTATTATTATTTATTATTTTTATAATATTAGCTTTTATAGTTATCATATATATTCAATAACACTAATAATACGACGTTTAAACTTTTTTAAACCACTTAAAATTAAGTGTAATCCAATATTAATAACTATACTATACTATTACTTTGTGTCAACATTATGTCTTAGGTCTAAGCTACGTCCTAGAATTGAATTACAAAAAAATTGTCCGATTTAAATACTAAATAACAGTTTTATTATATATAACTTTATGTTTTTCTCCTAAATTTCATTTGATAGTGAAAATTCACACATTTTTTTTTTTTTGAGAAAAGTATAACGATCGGAAGGAAATCGTAACTAAGATGTTATAACTAACATTTGGTATTCGACACATTGTCCAGTATTTTGTGCTTCCACTTGAGAACTTAACAAACAGTAAGTTTTGATGACGGAATTATTCTACAAAACGATAATAGGTATAATCCTTCGTTTTTGAATAAATATACAATGTTTTTATAAACTTAAATTTGATTCCGAACATGGACACATTAGGCATTCGGTATTCGCAATTAATCTGAATTTAATTGCTTGAAATCCATTCTGGTTTTGATGGAATTTAAAGAAATTATTAAGCTAAAGTTTATCTGCATAGTACAGTATAAACAGTAACGTTATTGTAATATATTGTATGGTTTTTTTTATAAGTTAAAAACAAATACTATATTGCTTTTGTGAACTAAACTCAAAATGTGTGTTTGTGATGATGAAAGTGTAGAATTATAAGATAATATAATATAAATATTAGATATGATTCCGATTTTCCGGCTTAAGCGTATCCGAGTTACAAGCGTACAACGAGTTATAGCAGAGTCAGTTATTTTCTGCACTACGCTATATGCCGATATAGCTTAATTCAAGAGATATAAAAGTTTCAAATTGTAAAATTTTCGCATTGGCTATCCTAACATACATACACCACATCTAACTAAAGTTAACTAGTTTATGCAATTTTTATAATGATTATAAAAATATAAACCGCGTCTCTTTATTGCTGAAGTTTATGCAAAAACTTCCCGATTTAAACCTGTACCTCAAAAACTAAATTATAATAATGTATAGCGTAATGAAAAATTTTTTAAATAAACAAATCTGTGTTATCGTGCCAAATGTTACATTATACTAATAAACATAACATAAGATTATTTTTACATAAATGAATTAATATTATTTTATTTAAATAAAAAAAAAATAAAGAATGAATTTTTCAATCATTTACAGTTTATCAAAATACCTTATTAGAATTTATTATTAATTTTAAATAAAAAAATTTTGCAGTCTTAAAAAATTATTTACAAATAAATAAATACAAAAATTATTTGCAAGACTACTGAAGATAAGTATTTGGCAATATTCGAAACAGCTGTATGGTCAACCAAAAATTTAATTAATTAAAATAATATAAAAATAATTTTTGTTGTTGTAGTTCAATACTTTTCGAAAATTTTTTTATGAAATACACTAATTTCTATTTAATACAATAGTCACAATGTCTTAAAAATTATGTTAAATTACAACATATTAATTTTAAATTAATTTCATATAAACATTTACTATATACTTAAACGCCTTAATTTAATATACGTATGTATTTATTTTTCATATAATCAAAATATATTTATGTAATTTTATATAACTAAAAAATTGTAATAACTAAAAAATGTGTTTAAAATAAGTTTTAATTAAATTAGTATAACATTTAAGGAACTTTATTTTAACAACAAAATCGAAGAAGTTATGTATCTGTTGAGTTCAGTGGCTATAACAACTTAATGACTAACACTTAATTGACCATTATTATTATTATATTATATTAAAACTTATATTATTTATTAATTTATTATTATTTAAATTGCATTTGTAAAATAAAACCATAATTTGTTACCTTTTTCAAAGTGAGTTCAAAAAAATAAACGATCCTCACAACATTTCTCACACATATCCACCAATAACATATCATTTTATATCTAATCCCAATATCTCTAAAAACTCTCCTCTCCTAGATTAGAATTAGTTCACAAATTTCTAGATAATGTTTACATATGTATTCAATTACCTCTGTACTTGTTGTGTTATCATGTGCGTAGAATTAATTATATTTAAATGGTAAGTCGTCATTTGATCTAGAATCTTAAATTTATAAATGTTGATACAACATAAATACAAAAAAATACACATAACTTGATTTAGGAATTAGTGCTAGTTTAAATGTACCTTATTTCGATATTTGGTAAGGAGATTTGGACGAGCGCCACACAATTAGAATTTGTGTTCTACTTTAGAAAAAGATGAAGCTGAGACACATCTTTTCAGATATCAAAATAGCTAAATTAAACTTAAAAAACTTTAAAAAAATTTAGCCTGGTTACAGATGATATTGATATTTTCTTTTTATTGTTTTTTGTTTTGTTTTTGTGTTTTAGTTGAAGTTAACTTTTAATTAGCAAGTACCTTCTTATGGGCGTATATCAATCAGCAAGACACGTTCGTGTATATGGCACGGACTACACATCCTTCATCACAGCGTTACCCACTTTTGCTGCCGGTTTTAAAGTTTTTTGATTCATTTTGTATTTTGGATTTCCAAAAATAGCAAAAAGTAAATGGACATCTCTATATCTATATCTTAAAACTAACTATTATGTTTATATGTAAATTAAGAATGTACCTGTAGTATCTCATTAATGAAAGCGAACTGCATCATTCTCTTCTGGTTTCAAACAGGAACCATAATGCCAATAATAATGCATAAGTGAAACATATTATGAAAAGATTTATTTAATTTATTTATAAGCCACTAACCTGCTAAAGAGGTTTACTACAGAAAAGACCCACAGATGGAGGATTTTATATCAAATATGTTCTAAACCAGCATAATTATAATACATTTATATTTTACATATTCTTATAACTTTATTACAAGTATGAATACTAAAAAAATGTTATAAAATTCCTAATGACAATACATGACTGAAGATAATAAAAGAGCTTTAAATTTTTATTCTGATGGATATTACTTAGATAGCCTTCCTGACACTGTGCTTAAAATTAGGTTTTAAATATTGTTCGCCTTTATTTTAAAAAGAAAATATTCTATTATATTAATGAAACAGAAATTTGTAATATTTTCTTTTAAAAAACCATATATCAGCAAAAACATAATGACAAGTCTTTTTACAAAAGAAAATGAATAAGATAATAATTATCTTATTTAAAAATTAAACTGTGGTGCTGATTTTTTTCAAAATTTTTGACAATTATTGGCCGGTCAGTCAAGTAATTGATTGATTACGATTTGAAAAAAAGACCGATAGTATGCGACGCTATGAGTTATAGCTATTTCGATCTACTGATCAGTTTTTTTTGAACCTTTAAGTTTGTTATTTTTAACATATTATTTTTATATATATTAACTATATATATAACAAACTTATTTATGAAAATATATTTGAAAAAAATTGACTAAAATTTGTGTTCCAAAGAATATAATTACAATTTACGGTCTAGTCAATTAGAAATACATACACAAGAGTTTAAGTGCAAAAGTTTAAAATGCTAAACATATTTCCTGAACATCATAAGATGTGGATATAAAAATCATCTCTAATGCAACATTGAAAATTTCAATAACACATCCGCAGCTGTGTCTTTTAAGCAAATATATTATGATCTATCAAACCAAATATTTTTTAATCCAGATAAATACAGTTTTCTTAAATACAGATAAACTCTATTTCCATAATGCCACTATTGAAGTATATTTATTATAATTGTAACACGAATCTTTTTTCGTAGTGAAAAATTAAATATTAATATTTAGTGTAAACGAAAATTTTGCAAATACTGAACATCTTAAATATGTAAAATTATAATGGTTCAGTATGTATTTCGATATATGAAGATAATTTTAGATATTTTAAGTATGTATTTCTATACACGAAGTTATTAATACATTCACACTGCCTCATTTAGACACTTGCTCATTTATATTAATCAGTAAACGTTCACACTATAATGACCTCATTTATGCAGCTGATAGAATTCTTATAAACTTTACTTAATAATATATCACACAAAAAATTAAATATATAAATCATTTATATATATATTTTTTATATCCATTATATATTCAGTTAAAAACAAAGATTTTATTATATACTTATTTCTCAGTACGTTTCTTTACAACTCAGCTGTTGTTTGTTTACATTTTACATATAAAACATATGACACATATTTCAAAATTCAGTAATTTCCCTTGTGGGAAATTTAGTTTTAAGGGTTGCATTCGACATTTTTGGCTTTAAATGGCTGATTTATTGATAATGAAAGCTCTTTGTATGGTAAATCAATCTCATTATATAGATACTATAATGAGCAAAATTACCTAAATGAGACAGTATAAATGTGGTATAACTTTTGATATTTCAGATGGTTACAGTTTTAAATTCATCCAATTTATAACAAATATATTGCAAACTAAGCAAGTAAGACATACGTTTTTTGCGGTTTTATTAATAAATAAAAGATTTAAGCTTAATTCGAATCGTGTTTCAAGATATATGTTTTTAACATTTGATTGCAGGAATAACAGCATGCTACCTCACTGTAGATTACTATATTTAAGTGAAGACTTAAGTTAATTTAAAAGTTCATAAAAAGAAATTAGAGTGAAAAAACCTCATTGAACAAATTAACTAACAACCTCCAAATTTTAACATATTGTTAATACTTCAGCTCTTTAGAAGTAAAGAAAGAAAGAACAGCAATTTTAACTAAACCGCTTTAACATTATTTTACGGATATAGCAGAAAACTAATATTAGCGGTCTGAAGAAGATTTTAAACTACATGAAGTGGACTTAATTGAGCTGTCTGTCTACACAATCAATCTAAAAGTTGGTAACGAGAATGTGGAATCAAAACAGTGTGAAGACGAAACGGTATGTAAAAATGTATTTTTACATCACAACGACATTAATTATATATTTTTAACTTTAGTACATTAATTAACAAGTTTCAAATTATAAATATATAAATAATTTTCTTCGGACTTATTTTGCAAATTCGGTTGAGTTTTCAATATATGATCGATAATCATAGAACTTAGAATGAATACGGTTCGAAATATTTTAATTAGCTCTTATTACAAAAGTTAAGATTAAATTTCTTACTAAGTACTAAATCACTAGACACTTTATAAAGTTTATGCAAGAATAATCCTACAACAGGATTAATATATATTTAACAGCACAACAATTTGAAATGTGAATTGTTGAATTGAAAGAACTTTTGACTTTTTCGCCCCTCAAAAAAAATTATTAAAAATATAATTTAAAACTGAACATGCATGAGAACTTCCATGTACACCATAGGTTTACATAGATATAAGGTGGTTCGCTTGTAAAATATTTCATACAACACTACACGTGATAAAGTTTGGCAGACAAATGTCAAAATGTCAAAACGTTAAAACAAAAATAAATATGAAAACCAAGTTGAAAATTATGCACTCACCTTGTACATACAATGCTCTGAGAATATCTGAGTTATTTATAAATTTTTTATTTTAATTTTATGGTTTTTTGGGGGGTACCTCTATCCATCATTTTAGAAACTAGTACTTTAGTAACGACTTCGGCTGCGACTACGGCTACCGCCATTGCTATGTCGATAGTTTCGGCTACGTGACCGCCGGCGATGGCTTTTGTGGTGGTCTATATAAAAATATAATGAATTTCGAATACAAAGTCTTGAGAATAACAACTTACGTCGGTGTCTCTCAGGATGGCGCCCATGTTCTCGATTATATTCACGCTCCCTGTCATAATCTCTGAAATTAAATATGATCGTTTATCTAATAAGAGAAGTATCCTTATTAACGTACCTTTTGCGGTCACGATTAACATATGCGGAACGTGAGGAACGATCTCGGTCACGGTCTTCTTTACGTAAACGTTCCTCCTCCTCACGTTCTTTTTGACGCCTCTCTTGAATTTCTTCAACTGCTTTACGTAAACGGGAATATCCTAAATGTTGTTTTCCCATCAAATGATCTTCAATACGTTGCTGGGCATCCCCAACAATTAAAAAAGCACCACATGTTTCACATACTTCCATTTGTTTTTCCGGCAATGTACCCATATCATTAATCCAAGCTGCAGCCTTTTTATCACTTTCGCAATCGCTAGGTGTTGATGGTTCGGCAATGATTTTCTCAACTGGAAGCTCGGATCGCTCTGTCGTTTGATTAATTTTACTGATTCCACTTTCATGTTGGGCAACCAATGTGTCTTTTTCTTCCTTTAGTTGTTCACAAAGCGACATTAAATCTTGTGCTTGGTCTACATCTCCACGTATACCTGCTTCCTCAGCTTCAGATAAAAGTTTCTTAATTCTAGCATTTAAATTATTTAATTGCTCCGCGTATTTCGAGACATGAATTTGTGTAACGCACTGATCCCGGTTCATTAACTGTAAGCGCTGTTTTCCTTTTTGTATCTTACGTTCCACGTCGTTTAACATCGTATTGCAAAAGCGCAAAAATTCGTCTTCATACTGACGTTTTCGAGGACTAGAACGTGCTTGGCTGTATAGTTGTTTTGCCTCGTCGTCATGAATGCGAGTACAAGGACCGAGATCAGCTCGAGTGTTAATAAAGAGATCATGAGGGCAGAATTTCACTATGTAATATTGACAAAACTACAAAAAAAATTGTTAGTTATTTTATTTGAGAAAATTAAATCGTTTAAATGAAAACATTCACAATTTTTCAATCCTCTAAAATTATTGATTTATCGCAACACTTTTTGCAAAGGATCTGATTTTATAAAATTATTTACAGTCTACTACTAGCCCAATATTAACTTACATCTGGGTCATCCCAATTCACTTTTCGGACTGCTTCCGATGGATGCAGGTTGCGGTTACGCCCCATCAGCTCATCCAGCATTTGTCTGGCTGCATCGACCATTTTTAATACCTAAATTATTTAATTCTTAATTTAAAATGTAAATAACCATCATAAATTTAAGTTTCTTACTTTTCCTTACCTTCTAATAGTTCTTCCCAAATAAATCTATAATTTTTTTACAATTTTTATATCGCGTACTTCTTTTTCCAAATTTGTCTACTACGAGAAAAGCGCAATGGCTACAGCATTGTATAGCAGAGGAGTGTGTAATGTTGCCAGATTATTAGTATATATACAATTCAGAATTGCTATTTACACAATGCTTTCTTGTCGTGAGAATATACCTGCTGTTTGGAATATATATCCTCATACAAATTCATTCCTATGATTTGACACATTAATATATGTTAAATTTCTTCATTTGAAAAAAAAAAACATTTTCTTAAATACATACATTTTTTTCAATAATAAAATAATTGGGATATTTAACTTACATACATCATACATTATATTATTATATTATAATATTATATTATTTTTATTATATTTATATATTATATCATTATATTAACATCATACACAAATTCAAGAAAATTAATTAATTATATTTTACAGACATTTGTGAATTTTTGTCCGTTGTTTCTACAAATGTCAAACTGAAAACAATTTTGTGCATTGAGTTTTGTTAAATACATTTATCTGGTAATACTAAATGTAAGTCAAAGAGGGGAAAGCAGCTGACTTTTTGTTCAATTTCGAACACATTTGTTCTGCTTAAAGGCTGTTGTGCTGTATCTTTTTACTCGTTCTAACTAATGGAAGAAACGCATTCTTTTTTAAGTGACAAGATGAAAATAAGGGGAAACGTAAGAATCAATCACATTTTAGTTTCTTGGCGTAAAAGTAGGGGAATTTTTATATCAGCTGATAGAAACAGTGAACAATTGCATTGCATTACTTGTGTTGTTTTTAGGTAATTTGCGTTGTGTGTACTTTGTAGTAAATAAACAATTCTTTACTTTATGATATGATTTATGATTTCTCGGGATCAATCGCCAAGTCTCCAAATTTCGTATTCTGCTAAATTGGCAATCGCTAAATATCGTTAAAAACGACTATAATTTCTCTTAATTTGATTGTTTTTGGCGGTTCGATTTTTACTGTCGCTAAAAGTGAAAATATTATATTTTAAACAAAGTGAGCAATTATTTTGTACGTATATAGTATAATATTCATATTTATTTATTAATTAATGTATTGTGATAGAAATAAACTTGTATTTAAAGTTAAATCCAAAAGCAAGAGAAAAGTCCAGGAGTATAAACATGCAATGGGGCTGACCGGAAATGCGTCCGTGGGCATAAGGGATTTAACCGATCTGGATGAACGGATTATTGCCGTAATGCATCCAGTAGCGGTGCAAGGCATGGTAGATGTCTGCGAGCCAGCAATGCACATTGAAAGTGATATTTCATGTTTTGATGACTTAGAGGTATGTATTGGAGGTGAATGACTTATTATCGCTTTTATTTTTTATAAAGTTTTTAATTATTAATCTAATAAATGTTTAATTTTAGTACCTTGAGGATGGAAAGGAATTGCCAAGCGGTTCAGGTCGATCTGCTTGTGTCAACGACGTGGGTTGTGTGCCTTTAAGAGCTAATCGTCCAGCTAAGCGACGAAATCGAAATCCCTCGTTAGAACAGACCAATCAAAAGTTCGTCGAGTTGCAGGAGAAAATGTTGAAGCTTGAAGAGCGTCGACTTGAGCTGGAGGAAAGAAAACTCAAACAAGGGAAAGAAATTGCAGACGAACGCGTGCAGGCGACTAAAGAGCATACAGATGCTATAAAACTTTTAGCGGATGCGCTTAATAATTTTAATAAATAGATTAAGGCTAATATAAGTTTTTTATGGTGGATAGCCCTACTGGGGGTGATGTGGAAATTTACAGTAATAAAATTGTTTATTTTTAAGGTTTTAAGGCAACAACGAATATAGAATAAAATTAATATTTTATCAAAGAATTTTTTCAATAAACTTGAGATTTACTCCAATTAATTGTTCTGACTTCTTTTGGATCACTGTTTCAGTGTTGGAAAATTTGCCATAGTTGTTGTTGATCCATTTATTAAAAAATAGGCCAAGACAAAACGTATTGTCATCGTAGTCAAAAGAGGCATATTTATTACGATAAAAATATTTAGACAAAAAGCATGTGGTGGACAAATGAATATATTTAATATAGACTAATTAAATTTTTACAAAGAAATGAAATGTCCTTTACACCTAAACTTTCAGATCCTAAAAACACATAAAGTCGAAATGTGATTTTTGTTGTGGACCAGAAAGCAGTCGACACGTTAGTTCATTTCAATTATTTTAGAATAAGTTCTATAATTAAATTTATTTCGAAATTTGAATTTTTAATTTATTATTTTTGCCGTTACTAGTCTTTCTTTTACTCTTGCATCTTTTTCCAGCAAGTACATTTAATCCCTACACAACGTATCAATAGAATATATTGATATAACTATCAACATCTATATTATTACGAGTCAAATTACAAATAAGTTGAGGTCCATTAAATAGGAAATACAATACTTATGGGTAACTTTTAATGGATTACATTTAACATAACTTTGTTATGTATATGTAAAAGTTTTTTAGATTTAAATGCTTATTCTATTGTACTTCAGACTATTATTGTACTTTAATCTCTAGGAGGGAAAAATCAATAAATAATTTTCATCTATTTAAAAAGAATTTATTATTAAATCAAATTTGCTATTAAATGCATTTTAGGACGGGATGTCCTAATTAGTACTACCTAATCTCAGAGTAATCACTAACCGTTTGGGGCGGTACGCAGATCTTAGATCAATCATTGAATAATCACGAAGATTATGAGGAATACTTAAATTAGTCAGTGAGATGGGTGGCACTCTGTAGAAACCCCCCATAGAAACCATCATAGAGTAAAAGTGCCCAAATGCACTAACTCGGAAAGGCTCAACATAACATAACTAATCGAAGCATTAATTTGTATGTAGGTATACAATGGTAGCCTATTGCAGACATTGCCAGTTTTCCTTAACGATAAAGTGACGTATCATTTAACTATTAGTCAAAGAAATTTGTAGATTAGTATCTTAATATCCAATAAATAATTACAGTCAAACTTTCATTACTCGAATTTCTCTATAACTCGAATAAAAATATCGTCACGTGCCAATAGGAATATGAGAAACTACATTCTATAAGTCGAATTTTTGTTTTAAGTATAAATCCATTTTGGTGTTAAGGGAAGTCCCTTGTCCCAGACCAAATGTTTCAATTTCTTATGTTGTTTCTTTGTGGAAATATATGGAATTTGCGTTTTTTCCGCCGAATATGACCTCTAAATTGCAACCGCTTGATCTGGGAGTAATTCAAAATTTAAAGTGTGACTATCGCAACAGAATCGTAAAAGAAGCACTAAAGCGTATAGAAGCAAACAAAAAGCAGGATATTACACTTATGGATTGCATAAATCATGTAGCAAAAGCGTGATATATTGATGTAAGTAGTCAAGCGATAGCGCACTGCTTTAAAAAAGCTGGATTTGGCAAATTTTCTACATGGGACGAACAGGACGACATTCCTTTAGTTTTCCTATAGACGATACTATTGAGCATTATAGATTTGAATTGATACATTCGATTCTACCGAAAGTGATGATGAAAGTTCGGTGAATGAAATTATTCAGCAGTCTTCCAAGAATGAAGTGGAAGACTCATTCAAAATTCTGAATTTTTATTTGCAAATGAATGATACTACAACTAATGATCATTATAAGGCTTTGAATAAATTGGAATTTCTTTTTACTGTAAATAAGAAAAAAAAATTTTAAATTCAAACCCTAATTTCTGAATATTTCGCTTCACTATAACTTCTGTGGTGTATTTGATTTCAAAAAAAATTAATATCGTGAAATGTAATTCTAGTTTCTTAAAAATTTAAAAAAAAAAATTAAATTCTCGAACTCAAAGTCTCCATAAATCGAATCTTTTCTTTGCAAAATGGTACTTCGGAAGTTATGGAGGTTTGACTGACTGTATTTAATATATTAATCGTTAAGCGATACTACAATGTATACATTTTGCGTTATTGTAATTTACAAATACATATGCTTTCTGCTATACACTGAAACTAGTTTAAGTTTAAAGAATCAGGCAAAAGCTAACCAAACCAAGCCAACTATGCTGAGATCTGTATTCTTAAGATAACTGTGGTAGCGTTTGTCGTATCTAAGTTGATTCCTATAAGAGGAACCATAAGCGCAACATTGTTCATGAAGTAAACGAAGAATGTTATGTACAGCTTAGCTATAGTGATCATAGCTGAATCAGTATAAACAGTAAGTTAGGTTTAGTGTACTTAAAATAGTGTAAACAGAAAGCTTTACTTTATGTGTAGTATAAACAAAAACTATGATATTGCGTTTTGTCTTTTATTTGCCCTAATACCAAGTAAGATAAAACTTAATTTGATAAATATGTGGTATAAGTCCACATAACATCTGTATCTAAATTAAAAAAATTATTTAATGTTTGGAGCAACGAATTTGGTTTGCTGTTAATTAATTTCACACAAAATAAACATAAAAATTCGCAAATAATGTATCGGTCAAAAAGTGCCAGAATTGACGACATTTAGATATTGTCTTTATGAAAAAACCATTTGTTTTTGAAAAGTACTTACCTCAAAACTATATTTATATTTTATTTGTTTAATAATTACCAATAAAGTCCAATGGATTCAAAGCAATTTCATAAATTAATTTCTCTAAACTCTACTTCACCAAAAGCAACCATGGAACGTTGGTTTGGTACGTGATCGTATAGGGACTGGACTAATGACGCATCATGCTCTCGTTGCCTAAATGTGACGGTTACTTATGAAGATTAAATAATTTTCAAGCATTGGAAAAGAAAATAGGATTTTGTTATTTTTAAACTACTAAATTATTAAAAGAAAATTTGTTTAGCAGTAAAATTTCAAAATACTTGCTCAAAATGCATACATATGTAATAAATTCCGAATTGAATATGAATTTCTAGAATGTTTAATGCATTTATTTTAAAATAATTTTATACAACAGAAAATTTAACATGCATAATAACATTATAACTATTAAATTCTAACGATTATTTAAAATGTATATAACAAATAAATTTAAAGGGACACATGTCAATATTTTAGCACTTTGTTGCTTTTTACTCTATATATATTTAAAAGTATATATGTATTTTAATATAAATTTATATTTTTACATTGCGTAGCATAGTGGACAAGCTAAGTATATATGTATATGTATATAAATTTTGTATATATTATAAGCTTAATAAAAAAAATTAAAATTACTTTGTATAAAACGTAGTTCTTAATCTAAATTTGGAAAATATAATTATATATAAATTCATTAAAAACTATCTCCTACAAATTAGTAAACGGAAACAATGTCAACTACAATTAAAATATGTAATAATGAAAAATTTCATTTTAAAATCTAAAAGTTAAGCTGAGCAAATCTTAAGAACATGGTGAGGAGAATACTTGCCAATATATTTATAATATATTAACTCATGCTTACACATTACATTTACAGTGGAAAAAATATTTTACAATAATAATAAATGAATAACTATTGCTGAAAAAAAAAATTATTAACAATAATAAATACAAAGATCAGATCACACAATCTTTTTGTATTAAATTTAATTTTGTTAATTTTGTATGTAAACAATTTGTATCTTATATTCAATTTTGTTCTTTTCTTGATGTTATACATGAATTTTGATTATTTCTATTTTACAAAATTCCTAATATATATTTTTTACAAATTCACAGTTTATGTCATAAAAATATCTTAGGCTAAGTCTTAGGACAATTTTAATATTTCGACAATTTGTGCAATTAGCACCAATGCTACCACATCCACTGGTTACACGCGTCTTTGTTGTTGTAGAGGTTATGGCAATGGTATTTGTAATAATTGCATCACCACTTAAACCAAATAGCTCATTGGCCATTATAGAATCACTTTTATCTGCAGCATTATTATAATCATTTTTATCTTCATTATCAACATTATCATTACACCATGTTTCAGGTTGACATTCATTCCTGCTTCCTGCATACAATCTATCACTTTTATTATATACTAAATTACTTTGTTGTTGTGGTTGTTGTTGTTGAGGTTGTTCCTTTAAATTGGTTAAATTTACTTCATGTACTTCATTAATGTTTGTACCCACTTTCAATGGCCACAAACGTTGCATGAAAGTAAAGCGTTGTATACATTTCTTACAACGCTAGTGGCAATGTTCGGTAACGTCGACAATAACTGACTTTTTCCAACAAAAGAAGAAGTAACCAACTCCTGCTCCTAACACCACAGCGATGCAAAGCCAAACGTTATATGTCATAAAAATCAACATGAGCATGAAGGAAACTGTCGTTTGAATTATGTGCAGGAATGTCTGGATCAAATGATTAACAGATAACATTGTCGGACTAAAAATAAATAAATATTATAATTAATTATTATTTTTTTTAAAAATGCTAGATATTTTTTCAAATCTATCCACAATCTTTCAAGCATGCATAACAAATGAAACATTTTTGTATAAAAGTTATTAATTTATATAAATAAACTATATAAATGAAATTATAAATACATTTTTATGTACAAATAAATATCCAAAATCTCAAGCCATTTCACCAAATTTTAGAATAACTAATGTTATTAATACAAATGGATTTATAATAAAATTCAATTAGTAATCCTTAAGTTAATATGACCAAAGAAAAACGTAGTTTTTTAGTTCCTTATTCTCAGTTAACGTTAACTCACAAATAAATAATAATATATGACCAAACTTTTTATATCCAATATAATCATCACTACATTATCACTGTAATTATATATACATATGTCATGTTAATGGCTAATTTAGCTAACTTGACTAAAATAGAATATGGTCAACCAATTTCATTATAATTAATTAATGAAAACTAATTATTTATACAGTTAATGGATTTAAAATATTAAATTTATAACAAGTATTTTTGTGCTAAATAATATTAATTTTGGAAATTGATTTATATTTTAATATAAACCAAAATACATGTTGTCAAAGGAGTTAATAAAAACGTTCATTCATATACATAACAATATCTCAAAATAGATTTATCCGGAAACATAATATTTTGAGAGTATTTTTTAGCAGTTTTTGCTACCCTATAATATTCATTGACACTTACTGATACTTAAGTATTTCTTATTAGAGCATTATATTTCGATATCAGTTTCGAAAGATGTCTGGAACAAACCCATTGTAAATCTAAAACAAGTTATAAATATGATACTATGAACGACATTATAAAGTAATAACTAAAGACGAAATTAAGAACTTAATAAAAGCATTGGCTGTGTTAGATCTTTGGCAGAATTGTTGTAATTATTGAGTTTGGCTACTGCCAATAGTGTACATTACTACTCTCCGCCAAACTGAATATAAGTATATACTGAGCTAGTCTAATTTGTACTTTCGTGATACATACCAATGACTTGAAAAGTATTTTGGCGATTCTGCTCCGCCGAAATATTATTATTTGACAGTGCTTTGCTAAGTTTAACAGTTAACATATATATATTTTATCATTTCGATTGTCGTAAAGTCGAAGTTCAGAGAGATAATTGACATCTAAAAAATATCAGAACGCAGCGCAAACATGATTTTCACGAATCTCATAATGGGTTCTGTGGAACAAAAACAATAGTGTATTTACGGAACCAAATGTTCTTTAAGAATGTTTAAGCAAAATAAACCCGTATTTTTTTCATCAATATGTGATTGTGGAATAAATCTGAGTCCACTGGAAATAAAATTCGAGCAAAACTCGCATATTATATGTGATAGAGGAATATTTTTTTTTCTTTGTGTGGTATGCCAATGAGTTACAAATAATTCTATTAATAAAAGAAATAGAAGGATTTAAACCTTATAATCGTAGTGTGAAAAATTTTCTTCTTCTTTCTTGGCATAACAGTCTTAGGTGGATCAGTGTTTCCTCAACCAATTCTATTATTAAAAATTTAAAGAAGTAAACTTCTTTAATGAGCCTAATTTTTAATGAATTTCAAAAATATTTATAAATTTGTTGAGAATACTGATGGGGTGCATTAAGCAGTTAACAGAATGGTTTTGTATATGTAATGTATATTTTATACAATGTATATTTTATATGTATATTTTGGGCCTCTATTACCACTATAAATGGTAACTCAGCTTTCAAAACTGCCTTGAATGTGAATTAAGAAAGCAAAGTTGCTCACTTAAATATCACGTAAGTTAGTATTGAGACTTAAGTTACGACTGTAAAAACGGTCTTTAGTCAACAAAACAACATTGATTTTACTGATTTTAATAATTGTATATAATAATTTTAAGTACTGCCAATTTTCTCCGATTTTTTTTTTTTAATAATTATTTTTGGTTGAACCTTTGGCTAACCATACAGCTGTTTCGGTTATTGTCAAATACCCATCATGTGGTCTTTGAAATAATTCTTGTATTTAATTATTCGTAAATAATTTTATGAGACTGTAAGTATTAGAGATTGAAATCGTAGGGGCATTATTTATTGCATGATTTTATAATATTCATTCTTGTGTACGGAACATAGTCTCGGAAAGTAATACAGAGAAATTTAATATTTCCATTTAAGACTTAAGTACTTAATATTCGGGCAATTTTAAAAGGCCATGTCATTTTTTTATATATATTATTAGAGTGAAGAATTTACATTTTTTCTATTGATCAACATGAATGTAATTAATGAATATAACTGAAGGAGGGGAATAAATAATTATAGTTCATTACTTCGTTATTTTGTACTAAACATAAACCAAAAATATTTTATTGAAAGATATTTTACTACATTTATACAAAAGATACTTTTTAAAAAATTATATACAAAATAAAAATTAAAGTAACAAGAATTTGTAAAATAGAAAATTTTTAACCAAGTAATACTACGGTAAAGGAAAACGATAGAAGCTAAAATTTCCGAATTATCCAATTAAAAATATTGAAAAAAAAAAAATAAGATCGTGCAAGTGAAGTTAACATCTAAATAGATTTTTTATCTATCTAACTTTAATTAAATAATGTGTCCTTCTAATATTCGTACTTACGGTTGCTTGTGTATGACTTCGCCCACATATCTAAAGGCGTGAAGTGTTGTGACAATAATTGTGGTGAAGAATTGGACAAAAAGCAAAAATATATTATATTAGAATATGATATAAATGGTAATACATAAAATATAAAAAATAATACATGAGAAGAAATACTTAAAGAGGCATATTATAAGACTTTGTAACTTACTGCACTGGCGAGACACTTGACGAAGGTGTAGCACGTTGTGGATCTTCAGCAATCCGTTGTGGTCCTGTTACTGGACGATATTCCAGTAAATTGTAAGTCTTCCAAAAAAGAAATTCACGATAGTATTTAAGTCCTTCGTAAAGTATAGCTACCAAAAAGATGAAAAAACATGAGCCCAGTAAGCCACCAACACTATTTATATTCCAAAAAGAAAATAGTATCGTTTCGTTACATCCAAAATGAAACTAAAATAAAAATGTTCAATTTTAATAACAAATTTATTAATAGTATATAATTGATTTTATTCAACATACCGACATGGACATCATTTGATGTATCATACCGCCTTCTTCCGTATGCATATGACTCCTAGATTCAACATCTTGCGCTTGTATTGGATCGATGGTAGTCGCTCCCATATTAGCTCCATGGTCATGATTCATATTGACATCTACGTGGTTCATTAAATGATGAGCTTTACGGATTTTATTCAATGGAATTTTATAATGACACACAACAAATGTTTATACACGTAGCAAGCAATTAAAAGTAAATCATGCAATTAAATTCAAAAAAAAAAAAATACAACAAATAAAATCAAAAAAAATAATACAAATGTTTCCAAAAATATTTATTAATAAACTTATGGAACAATCGGTTTAAAATATTAGATCTATTAATACCTTTTTACAGACAGTTAAACACAATTATAGTATAGTAAAAGTGCTCTTCAGTGTAACAGAAGCAGAAAATTTGAATATTCTAAATGGACGATTATTTTCAAATTCGAAAAAGTCTTATAAAACAAGTTAAATCTTTTATAAAAGTATAAAAAGCAATAGACAATAAATTTTGGTGGTCCAAAGTAAGTTCTCTAACACATAAAATATAAAAAATCGATTTATCCATAAAATTAAAAAATCAACAATCAAATTTATATTCCAAAAAAAATAAATATTTTGGAATAGATCCATAAAATAATAAAATAAAATAACAGAAGTATGTTTCTATATATTGACATAAAATAACCATTAATCACAACTATTACACGATTTATCTTAACATCATCTATTAGTAGTAATATCTGAATAATTGTTAACACATTTATAATTATTTGTGACTTATTAAAAATAACAATACCCTTTAAACAAAATTATTGAATACTTATGAAGGACTTTTAATGAAATACCTAAATTTAAATTGATAATGTTAATTATATTATAAATTTACTTAGACTCTTAAATAATTAACAGGGTTCTACACTTCCAAGTCAAGTAGGCCGTTACAAAATTCTAGTTAATAATTAGTTAATCTACTCAGAAATTATATATGTTAGGAACATATTTCCTAGCTTTTCTCATATGATTATATCAAAACCTTGAGTTTATAGAGAAACTAGATGCTTTTAGTATAACTGATTAGTAGTAACTGTTCAGGCATCAAATTTAATGAATATATAATAACTTGTAAAACTATAAAAAAATATAGATTGTATAAAACCCTTTGAAAAATGATCTCTTCGTTGTTGTCTTCAAAACTACTAAAACTAGTTTGTGTCCAAGGACCCAGAAAAGGACAACAAAATCGTTAAAAAACCTTTTGTATTCATCTTTACTTATTTCGAATTGTTATAATTTATTATTCATATATATATAATTTATTGATGTTTTCTTATGAAAACTAATAAAGAACATAAGATTATATAGATCTATTAAAATCTAAACCGCTATACCACTGAATTAAGCATCACATATATTAATAATTTTTGAAATGTGTTTGAGATTTTGCTTTACATCACTTTTGAAATGCTTCTTTCCTGTGTTTAGTCCCTCTGATAATAATGTCAAGAAATATCGAATTTTATGCCAAAAACTTACGAAAATTTTCATTGTAACTGATTGCCCTCGTAAAATGTCACACTATGTCACCCTCTAACCCTCTAAAATATCATAGTATTTTTCATTTAAGACCGCATATTTAAGTCTGACTCCTCAGTTTACACTACTTATAAAACAAACTATTCATAATATAGAACTCTTCATATTAAATCTACACTATCGACTCGTATTGTAACTGTGTACTAAGATCCAAATATGATATAATATGATATATATATAAAGCAGTTTACAAAAAGGCTAATATTTCTGCTCTTGCAAAAATCGCTTAGGGACTTATACATATATAACTTATACTTATATGACATATATATAAGTCATAACTTATATATGTTAAAAGCAGGGGTGCACAACTTATTATTTTCTTTAAAAAACTTGAGTTGTATTTTGTAGTCGGATCATAACAAAGTAATGGGTTTCCTCAAAAATCAATGTTCTAAATTTCATTAGTTTAAACTCAAAAACGAAAAAACTAGTTTTCGTTGAAACATAGAGTGGGATATCGATAGCTAACATATATTTTCCTCTTCTAGCGAAACTATGGTATACAATATATAATTTATAGAGTTTCGAATATTATTTTTACTGTGTTAGAAATATGTATACATATACATTTTTGTCTGCCCTAATAAGACGTTGCGTATATACCTATTAGCAATATGACAAGCAAGGTTTAGATTCAAATTCCACTAAAAACTGCTTTAAACACACGCTTTAAAAAAAATGCGCAGTTGCTATGTCTCAGGAATAACATTTCAAGTCTACTTTAACGTCTTCTAAAAATTCTACACATACATTTAACGGTATCTGGTACAGACCAATAGATCTATGTGTGGCTTACAGTTTGTTAGTTGTACTTGATCTACTCTAATATACTGCTTTAATTAATTTATACATTAATTATGACTCGGGAAGAACGGGCTTTTTCTAATTTGATTATAGTTTTCTGTTACCATTTTCCAAAATACGTCCAAAATCGTTTTATACCTTTTTTCTTAATTAACTAGACATATGGTCACACTTAGTACAGTGCAGTTAGATCTTTTACATGATGATTAGTTCTCAAAAGTTAAAATATAATCTAATTAAAATCTAATACTTATGTTCTCAATCAATATTTTAAAGTAAGAAAAAAATTTAATCTCATGAAAAAATGATGATATAAGTTTATTTCTACGTAGTTAAGCTTACGAAATTTATACATTAATTTAAAGGAATTATAAAGTGAATTAATGTGAATGGAATTAAAAATTTTATATATTAACAACGAAATTAAATTATGTAGATTCTATGTGAACTTGAATTTACATACCATGATTGTTATGTATACTGTGTTGGGAATGATCCATCGTAAATCTTTTCTACGTCCACGATTCAAAGGAATTTTCGTTTAAGTATTTAAAATAATCTGCAATTAAAAAGAAAATGTAACTAATTAGTTGAAAAATATCTGTAAAAATGTAAAATTATTCTGCATTTATACCATTTGAATATTTCATAACCATTCATGTTAATATCTAAACAAAGCGAATAATATATAAAAATTATTATTCTATAATAATTAAATATGCTTTCTCTGGATAATGAGCACAGTCAGTGGGTGCACAAGATTTAACCTCATGACATCACAACTGTTATAGAAGAGTTTTATGTTAAGCTTATTATAAAGAGCATCTAAACAAATTAATTAAACCAAAATGACTATATAACTTGGAAGTAATGTCACATATCACACGTCAGTTTTTATTTTTTTTTTTTTTGACATATTGTTAATGTCTTTACGAACAGAATAGTATTGAAATTTAACAATTAAAAATAAAAATATAATTAATTAATTAATTAATTCAATTATTCTACAGCTGGCTTATGATTTCGTTCTAATATAAACACAGCAAGCAAAATTGTTAATAAAAACTTTCACAGCAAAAGTAACAAAACTCCAGAAAAATATGCGAACATAAAAAGTCGTACTTGGCTTTGGATCAGTTGGTTAAGTTGCGCTGATTCTGAGCTTCACATTTGGCAGGACCCGAGTTCGATTCCTGGTACTTGCAGTCTCAAAAATAATTAATTACGAATAATTAAATACAAGAATTATTTTCAAGACCACTGATGATGGGTATTTGGCAATACTCGGAACAGCTGTATGGTCAGCCAAAAATTCAATTAATTAAATTAATATAAAAAATAAAATAAAATATTTGTTGTAGTTCACTAATTTTCGAAAAAACCTCTTTATGAAATATGTCTTTATTGAATCGCTTCTATTTGAAGCCTAATAATAAGTTTTAGAATCTTTAAAAAACTAATAGCATTACATTAAAAATTATTTTATATATATACATACCACAATGAATTATGAAATGAATTGAAAATTATTGTAAGGGGTTAAACACACTTAAGTGTGAATTAAACACACTTAAGTGTGAATTTAACACACTTAAGTGTGAATTAAACACACTTAAGTGTACTGAAATATTTAACCCAGATGTTGAAAACTAAACTGAACTTAATATAACCTTTTACAGAGTAGAATTTTTCACTACAAAGCACACTTCTAAGTTGTCCAGGAAATCAGAAATGTGCCTATGCATATATTACAGCAACAATTACAATAACACAATGACAGTCTCAGCAGAATAGAATAAGAAAAAAATAAAAGTCAAAAGAAAAATAAAACTGCCATTGAAATTATAATTATACCAAATAAAAAGAAAATCATTTTTTGTGAAAAACTTTCTATAAAACCTCTTTATTATTAAAGACTCGGAAAAAATAATTTTATCACTGAAACTACATTTTAAAATTTTAACCACTTAATTTAAGAACTAATAAGATACATATCTACCTCTTATTATATAGTTAAAAATTTGATTTAATTTATGTTTTTTATTTTGAGTAGGCCTCAAATCAGTATTTAGGGTAATTCAATCATGCAAAAATGACATTTGCATATTGAATAAATTATGTTACATTCTTTATATCATTAGTAAATAAATGTAGTCAAAATTATACCAGGGCAATTGCACATTTCATTTAAGGCATTTCAAATTAGTTTTTTAAATTTACTAATTTGACATTTTACACACACTTTTGTGTATTTCAATTAGAATTTAATCAACTAAATTAAACAATTATATCGAATTTACTACAGAATATATATGTTTCAACAATTTCATCGAATTGCATTATCACATCATATATTATAATTTATCAAATTATATTTTTTTCTACAAAATTTTTAAAAAAAATATTTTTCTCTTGTTTATTTTTTCTTCCCCTTCCCTTCCCCTTGGTTATGGACAAACTTTTACTCCCTTATGTGGGCGAGATTAATTTCGTTGTAATCGTCTAATCCTAATTGAAGTTTTCTTCCTTTTGTTTTATTTCGGAGTTGGTTATGGAAAAACCTTTACTCCCTTATGTGATAAATGCAATCCATCCGTATCGATACTTTCAGTTACCATCCTAACGCTAGTAGTCCGAAAACTATTTATTATCGGCAAGCTCTATATGCCCTAGATAGAGGTTATGGCTCCCACCACGATCTTAATCGTCCTAATTTTCCAAAAACAGAATCGTCCTTGTTTAAACAAATCTCATCTTTATATATAGGGTGTATTTTTAGCTACACGGGAACTATCGATATCGATAACTATGGTTTGAAAGTTGAGATTGTAAAACTTTGTTGACATTTCTGTTCAGTAATATTTAGCAATTCATCATGAATCGTTTAACTCTAAAACAACGCTTCCAAATTATAGAAATTTACTTTGAAAAAAATAAATCTGTTCGTGAAATATATAGAGTGCATAGTGCTTACTGATGAAGCCCATTTCATCACTACATCAGTAAGCAAAATTGCAGTATATGGAGCGAAGTTAATCCTGAAGTCGTTAACGAATCATCATTACATTCATTAAATTGACTATTTGGTGGAGTTCACACGATTGCTGCATCATCGGTTCTTATTTCTTTCAAAATGAGAAAAAAGCTGCCGCTACGCTGAATGACAAGCGCTATCAAGCTATGCTGATTGAAAATTTGTTTTTAAATATCAATTAGTTAAACATAGACGACAAGATGGCCCAACTTGCCATACAGCGCGCTTAAGAATCGATTAATTGCGAAATGAATTGGTATCAACTTTATTTCCAGAAGTGGTCTCGATATATGACCAGATGACTCGGTAATATGGAGTTCGCAAGAAATGGATCAGGAATACTGATACTGATACTGATTCTCCATTAAATTAAATCACCTTAAGTAGATTTATTGAGAACTCAACAGTTTAACATTTAATTTAAGCAACATTTTGGATGCAGACACAATTCGACATTAATAGATAAACTCGCCTCAAAAATTAATCAGGAAAACAAATCAAAGAAGTTAAGCAGAGTATCATGTCGGTTTCCAGAGCAATCGCTCTGGCGCAGTACAAAATCTATGTCAATTTATTACTCATATCTGCAATAAAAGAAAAACTGAATTGACTTTAATTCCTTACTTTTTAAAATTGGAGTCTATTTACGAAAAATAATTATACAGGGTTAGCAAGAGTTCCTTCCGATAAAAAAATTATCAACTTTTTGTATATTTTATTTATTTCACACCGAAAGAAGATTGGGTTTTATTTTTAGAATAACGGTCAACGACCACACTCAACGTGATTAAAAGGTACATTTTGTGATATAATGACCAAGAGCTATGAGAGAACTTCGGAGATGTGGGACGTTCGAAGAGGTACAAAAAATTTTGACAAAAAAATATCTGCATCTATAAAATACCAGTAAATACCAGTAAAGTATTCAATATTTCATGTCAATATTTCATCGGAATACTAAACTCCTATTATAATTTGCTCTGAGAATGAGTAATAATATTTAAATGATTTAATGATGACAAACTAGACGAACTCCAGTTTAAATAGGTTTGTAAACAAGTTAAACTACATTTTTTTAGCGCTCATAAACACCCACGTTCACCAATAATCATTATTGTTTTTTATGGCAGAAATTCAAATGTAATTTATGCATCATATGTCTGTATGATGAATGCAGATCCGGCCTCATGTTTGACTTCCTGTTAGATCTGGCCTTTATACAACCAGATCAGATCCTGGGAAATCATTAACAGCGACCGCGTAAATACTGCAAGGCTTGTCTAGCCACTGGCGCATAAGAATCTACACACTTCTTTTACCGCTCATTGTAGAAGTTGTGGAAGCTTGCATAAGAAAGAAATAATCAAGCATAACCTTTATAACTGGTCAGCTTTGGTTTCCAGAAAAAAAGATTTTTAAAGAAGTATCTATTTGTCTGCTCATTGGTAAACACATACAAATAAGATCTATTGAAATTATTTAAATTCAAAGGTAATCTAATCTGATTTCTATAGAAATGGTTGTAAAACGACAAATAATCGCTAATCGTGGAAAATAAAAGGATGTGAAGTGACCTGCTACTGCAAGCAACCAACCAAAGAAGATGTATTCTTAACCTTACAAAATTCACTAAAAATAGCATAGCATAGACTCGATTGTTGAATATTATATATCCTAATATTATATATAAGATGCGATGTTAATTTGCACTTAATAAACAAATATACAGGTCGTTTAAAAGTTATTGCAGATATAATTTGAGAAGAAACTTTCACACACCCTGTAATACTTATAGTTATCGCGGTCGGCAGAGTAAAATCTTAAAGTTGTTCATATAGACAGACATAAATAATCACTACTGTGACTTTCAAATTAAAATTGTTGAAAAAACGGTTTGATGAAATTTTACTTTAGAAGTTTTTTTATTATAAAAACAGAAACTTTTATAAATAAAAATATTTTCTCTAAAGCAAACGTATTTTTACGTGGCCAGCCATTAATTCTTCTAACTCATTCATAAAAATCATTTCAACTGAAACGATTTTTTTTTATTTTTTCCTGCAAAAAAGAAGCAATAATAAAATTAAACGACTTTGTTGATTAAAATATCTTTTTATATGAAATTGAGCCAATTTAAAATACTTTAAATAAATCATGAAAAAATTACACAGTTTGCTTTAATAAAATTAATAAATAAAATAAAATTGCAGACGAACTCCATATCTTTTAAATAGAAGAAACTTTAAAATCGGGTGACTGAAATATTTAATATTAAAAAATATTAATATAAGAAATATATACATATGTTATATGAACTAATAAACAATTGCTCTACATAATTTACTTAAGTAATTTAGTTATGAAATACAATTTCAATGAAACACAATTTAAAAAATTAATAACGAAGTAAACGCCTTTACTTCATTCCCGCATAAGGTCAGTGCTCCAGTTAGTTTATATTTATATATTAAAAACCTATTCATGAACAGTCACAGTAAAATTGTTATTTAATTAAACAACTAATT